TGTGTGTGTGTGTGTGTGTGTGTGTGTGTGTATGCGTATACATACATATATACAATATATATATGTGCATGTATGTATATGTATATATATATATATCTATATACATATATATATATATATATATATATATATATATATATATATATATATATATATATATATATATATATATACATATATATATACATATATATATATACATATATATATATACATATATATATATATATATATATATATATATATATATATATATATATATATATATATATATATATATATATATATATATATGTATATGTGTGTGCGTGTGTCAGTCAGATATAGTTCATCCGTGACGCATCGAAGACGTCACAGGGTCGGGCTGCGTCGAATGAATGGCCTCCGTGTGTCGAAGTAATGACACTGCGATTTGAGTTGATTTTAATCTTCATAGACTAATGGTTGCTCCGTCAAAGCTGGTCGACGGTGCCTCTTCAGTAGTACAGAAAGACCATCTGGTGTCGATGTAGAATTATGGATCAAAGGCTCCATTTACTATTATAGAAAGATAATAATTAACATTAAGAAATAAAGAATTGCCTATAACCAAGATTATCAAACTTCGAAAACCCGAGTAACTTCTGGTAAAACAAGTTCAATCTATAGACCAAGTTATGCCTACGGGCTAAATCCACGCCACGAGTTAGACATAAAAAAAGTGTTGCCGCGCCCCTCTCACTCCCCTCTCCCCCCTCCCCCCATGCTTCCCTCATACTGCTCTCCTTCCTCTCGCGCGCTCCTCATATTCATCCCTTTCCCCCTGTACGCCCCTCATATTCCTTCCCCCCCCCCATTGCGCGCCCCTCATACTGCTCTCCTTACCCCCCATGCGCCCCTCATACTCCTCCGTCTCCCCTCCAGCGTTCCTCACATCCCCCCCCCCTCTGCTTCTCATCCTTGGTTCCTCTCCAGTTTTCCAAAGTCTCTAAGATGTTTACACTGATCCTGCTAACCCCCTGACCTCTCCTTAGTTCCCGTCGGTGGGTCTTCCTTCACCCCCCCCCTCCCCTTCCCCTTCTTCAGGTCCTCGCCTCATCTCCCCTCACATTTCAACCTCCATCTCCCCTCTTCCTCCCCCCCTCCCCTCTAACGACCCGTACTCCTTTCCCCAAAAGTCGTTTTTTTCATCGTTTTTCTCTCCTTCTTCCTCTTTCTTCTTCCTTCCTCCTCCTCCTCGGGGTCCTTCCGCCGATCCCCTCCTCTTGGTCGCCTTCTTCATCGCCCCAATTCTACGATCTCCATCATTTCTCCCCATTGCGTTCCTTTATTTCCCTTCTCCCTATCTCTCCATCATCCCTTTCTCCCTCTCCCCTCCCATCCCCCCTCACTCTCCCTTCCCTTCCCCTGATCCTCTACTCGGGCTCCCCTCCCTTTCCCTCAAACTCCCTTCCCTTCCCCCAGCCCCCCTCCCTTTCCCTTAATCTCCCTTCCCTTCCCCAGCCCCCCTCCCTTTCCCTTAATCTCCCTTCCCTTCCCCCAGCCCCCCTCCCTTCCACTTAGTTTCCTTCCCCTTTCCTTCATCCTCTCCTCCCTTCCCCTCACCCTCCCCTCCCTTCCCTTCACTCTCCTCTCCCTTCCCTCCTGTCTCTCCTCCCTTGCCCTTCGCTCTTCCGTCTCCCTCTGTTTACCCTCACGTCGACCCTCTTCCCTCCCTCCCTCCCTCCCTCCCTCCCTCTCGCTACCCGTCTCACGTCAGCCGGAAAGTCTTGCCTCTTTTCCCGCCAGTCTCGAGGGCCAAGATCTGCTGCGGATTCCTTGCGCTAGTACTTTCGTTAGTGTGGGCTTCCTTGCATATTTACAACTCTTTTTTTTCTTCTTTTCAGGAGAGTGTAATATTTCGCTATGGGCGGTTTCTTTGACTCTTCTTTCCCGCTATATTCCGTTGTATGCTTTAGTTCATTTTCTCGATTCTTACGTAAAGACAGTGCTATGGTTTTATTTCTTATGTTTTTACGTATTAATTTGGCACATGGCACACGCACATCTAACCATTTAGCCATCCCCCCTAAATAAGCCCGACACGAACCTAAAACAAAACTCAAACAGAATAAAAACAAAAAAATAAAAAAAACGCAAATGCACCCCGACGCTAGAACAAAGACACAGCAAAGCATTCCTGGAAATTATTTTGGGTTTGTTTCACGACGCAGTTTGTTACGAGGAAACAGGAATCTCAGGTCCCTCCGGCCCGCTCCTTGTCGCGAGTGTGATCACGAGGCGCCGCTGTAAGTTACACTCACGCGAGACACACAACATTTTCCTCCTTTCAGAGATACGAGCGAGGGCGACGCTCGGGCCCGGCGCCCTTTGTGGTAAATATGCTAGGTCGATAATGTTAATAATATCTGGCGTATATGATTTGGATATTCATCCTGTGCGGTGTCAATAACACGAGCGCTTTCGCTCTCATTCCCGGCGCTTTTTAAATTTATGGAATTCGTATGAGCAGTATATTTATAAATGCATACACGCCAACATGTATAAATGTGTTTATATATATATATATATATATATATATATATAT